ACACTGCCCCGCTGCCCCACACACTGCCCCGCTGCCCCACACATTGCCCCGCTGCCCCCATACACTGAACACCATACACAATATGCAACATCTTCATTTTAACACTTTTCCGTTACTACCATACAAATTTCTATTCAACTTTTTAAATCCTTTCGACCCCAAATTTCATTTAAATCGGTTCAGTAGTTTTAGCGTAACAGCGAGACAGACAGACTGAGTTATTTTCGCATTCATTATATTAGCAAGGATTTCTTCCCGGGAAAATGTAGCTTGCTCATAGCGAAATAATTAATCAAATCAATTCCGTAGTTTCGGGATCTATTCTAATGCAAACAAACAAATATTTCCACTTCATAATATTAATTTATATAATTTAATATTACAGTTCGATACATAAGAGAGATGGAGGCTGGTGCGTCCCCTTCCCCGGAGCTGACTCCTCCATAGTGTACAGGAGCCAGCGCGAGCTGCACAACCACACGAACAAGCGCCCCGTGCAGTTCGCTGTCTACTTCCACTTCCCCAACCTCCTGTCTCTCCTCGCTGTGCTCTTTGTTGGCTTCATCCTCGTCGTCTTCTCTATGACGAAGGTTACCAGGAACTGGCTAATTGACTATCCGAGGCTCTTCTCCTTCGGCGCTGTGACTGATGACGTGAAGGAGGAGGTGATGGACAATACCTACTTCCAAATGTTACTGTACGGAGAGGGCTGGGAGAAAGGATCGGACGAAACTAAGCCGCCTAATAAAAAGATGGTCGCTAAGGTAACTTTTTGTAACTAAATGTTTCATTATAGGAATTAAAAAAAAGATTGACGTGAGCAACAACTGCGTGCCTTGCTCGCTGCAATACCATCACCTCACAGAAGACACATCTTTAGTGAATGCAATTCCAAGTGTAATCTGATGAGTGTGTGTGTCGGAGGACTCGTTTTACTTCTCTTTCTCTTCCCATCATTTTCTTAGAAGAAAATTATGCTAAAAGGAAGTGAACACATAGGATGAGAATATTTTCCCCTTTTCGTCGGTTAAAGACAACAATGCATCTGCAAATGCCATTATCTGTTGGTTTGTTATAATATAACAAAAAGTGAACTCCCGTGTGCTTGCAATGACAAATAATATTGTTGCAGGTGTCAGGCAGGAACCCAGGATACGGCGCGACCGTGGTGGCCTTGCTGCACTCCGCCCTCACCCTGCTGCATCACACCGACCACATGCCTCCGCCGTATGTATACACCTCCACACATCCACACCTGCACACCTCCACACATCCACACCTGCACACCTCCACACCTCCACACCTCCACACCTCCACACCTCCACACCTCCACACCTCCACACCTCCACACCTCCACACCACAACTACGCCATACAGTCAACACTCGAACCTCCGTAAGAGAGAAACCTCTATAAAAGATAAATATCTCGGTCCCTTCAACTCTGCCTTATCTAGGTCCGGCTCTAATTAATTTTCCCAAATGAATAGTACTAAGCTTTTCTAGAATATAATAAAATACTATTTCACATTTCATCTAACTCTGTTCAACCGTACAATATTCCAACCATACATCCAAATTTACGAACAAGTTTATAAAAATCGGTTTCTGATAAATACTTTGTTAATTTGTTTTACTTTTGTTTATATATTTGTGTTGTTGTGTTGTGTTGTGTAGCGGCGGCGTGCTGACCACTGCCCTCGCCTTCAGAGACACGGATCTGATACAGCGGCTGCATCACGACGGACTCAAGTTTGAAATTATACAGAAATAAATCTCGCAAATATACCTCACTACTTACTATATGTCTGTTCTAATAGAGAAAAAACTGAAACAGAACTACTTAACTTGTTTCAAATTAATATTGCAAACTTTTATCATCTAAATAAAAAAACACAAATTATTCATTTTTTTACATTACGCCACAAGTACTATGAGTCTGGTGCGAATATTTATAACAAACGACATCGTATCAACGAAATTTGTGTAAATAATTATTCAGCGCCACCTATCGGGCGTAAAGTACACCAAAAATCAATCTAGGGTCCTTTAAGAAGCGAGCATATCACCATCTTAAAGGCCGACAACACATCTGTGGTTCCTCTGATCTTACAGATGTCCGTCCATGTGCGTCGATGAACACCTCAGTGTTCCCGCTACTTGTTTGCCTCTAATGTTATAAAAATCAAAAATCTAATACTAATTTTGTTCTAATTGACAGCAAATTGTCGATGGCCGCAAATATTTGTGTTGAGCCCATTTACTATATTGTTTGAATAATGTTTTAATGAATGTTGTACTTTTGTATATGTTGTGTTTAAGTTTTGGTGTTATGATATATTAATAAAATAATATCACTAATTCAGATTTGTTTTTTTTAATACATTGTTTTCTGATCTTTCTTCAATAAAGTTCTCAGAGTATTCGTAAAATGTACAAGATTAGACAAAATACAAGGAACGCCATCTAGTTCATGAATTAGAAAGCTAAGTAGTCTTCACTTACTAATTGTTTACTAGATGGCGTTGATTGATTGAAATGTTTTTGTTAGCTTTGGAAAATTATAAAATGTCGCGACTATATATTAGTTAGATTTATAATGCTAGTATGTAGTATCCATCACTTGTACTGATGACAATTGCAATGTTATGGATATATAATCGTTTAATCCTTTTTAATAACTTTATTTCAATTAAGAACGTCAGTAAATTGTTAATTAGGTTTAGGTTAATTCCGTACGTCCGTACGTTGTGCGTCCGTCGATCTGTCAAGATCCTTTTTTAATTAAACTAAGCGACCAGTGGGTACACTTAAACCCTGTGGGTTTTCGTATTGCTGATTTAACAAATTTATATTTTAATATATTTATATTTATATTTATATTTTCAATTATAAGTAGGTTAACGCACCTGTCTACCTATATACGACGGAGGACACAGCAAGAGAATATTTCCTCATTAGACTTGGAATTACTTCCACTTGAGGCGTGTGTTCTGTGTGCTATTGCAGCGGGGGCAATGTTGTTGGCGTCTACCGTTGTCAAAACGTAAAACTGTAAGAACAGTTGTAGGATAACATGATCGAGTCTCATTTAGACGGTAAAAGAAGGATGTGAAAATTGAATTCACCCTTCATTGTTATTTTCATACAGAGACATTTCTGCAGAATTGTCGCAGCTCCACCTACCAACAATTGAATAAAACCACCATTGAAAATAGATATAATTATTTTATTGAATAAGTAAAGTTCCTAACGATAAAAAAATGTACACACATTCGCTTACCACGCCAAGCTATATGTACACAGTGGTCAATGCCACCGCCCACGCCCGGCCCACACCTGAGCCCAGCAGTGGGCACACAATAAATACAACATATATCAGCTTTGGTTTAAATTAAAAGATTGTACAAAATTAAATACGTAAAAAAAGCAATATCGCAAACTTATTTATTCAAAACAAAACACAACGAAACCCAAAATATAAATAATATTGTTTGCAGAAATGAAATCACAAAGATATGACACAGAACCTAACCTACGAATTTATTTCCCAAAAATCACTTAGTAAAATCGTAAGGGTCTGTGTATTCTTTGCTCTTACACATTTTTTAGCATAACTTCCTACACAATAGCTAGCTACGTAATCTCATCGTTTTAAACTACAGCTTTTATCTAAAATAATGTTCAATAAGAAGCTTATAATATATTAAACAGATATAAATTAATAATAATTGTTGAGAGTTATCTGAATGCAAATTTTTAAATTGATATGTGTTGATTGTTAACACCAGCTATTCCAGTAAAAAGCAACAAAATAAAATGGCGGCAAAATAAAGTTGATACAAAGGTAAAGTTGACAAGGTGTCAGTATGACAATCGGTTTTTTTTTAAACATTGACTTCTATACATGGACAGGTTATGAGCCGTGTTATTTTGTGCTACTTTGATTTTCGCCATATTGACGTTGAAAGTAGCGACTGGTGGAATAACTAATTTTAGATATGTTACCTGTCAGTAACATCATCAGGTAATGACCTATCCATTGAGAGATCAGTGTTTTAAGAAGAGAAGAGAGACGAATTAAAAAGGCCTTAAAAAGAAAAATCTTTGAATTCTTCATTAAAAGCCAATTAACTCTTTACTTATTATGTGAGACAATAATACCTTTTTAATGTAACGTAATTTGTAGCTACAATGCAATGTTCAAGTAACCACGTTACGATCTTGCTTAAGAAACAATTTATTTGGATTACTTATTATTATTTGAGCTATAAATAATTACATCAATCAATTATATACAAATTACTTTGACACATTTTAAAATCTGTGTTTTTTGTTTGTATTCCTTGCTCGTTCAATATTACATTTCACTTCGAAAAGAAGTAAAAGAAGGAACTCCACTATTTATATAAACTTTTATATCAATAGTCTTTAAATCATTTACGATTACATTTAAATTAACTTTAACTTGATTCCCGACTGTTCTCACTGGAGCCGAGAGGGTTGTGCGCAGTGGGCTGCGTAGTCGCGGGGCCTGCCTCAGGGGCCACGATAAGTCCCTCTTTGATCCTCTTCTTCTGCTTCATCCGTCTGTTCTGGAACCATATTTTTACTTGCGTCTCGTTCAGCTGCAGCGCGGAGGCTATCTCTATCCTTCTCGCTCTCGTGAGGTACTTATTGAAGTGAAACTCTTTCTCTAGCTCTGTCAGCTGTTTGTTGGTGAAGTTGGTGCGGCCGGTGTTGTTGAGGCTAAGCAGGGGGTTGGCCATCATCTGGCCGCCTGTGGGGGTCCGCATACCATCCTGCGGGCTGCCCAGCACACCCTGGCTCGTGAACTCCGTCGGCGGTATCATCAGTTTTGGAGCTGGAAAGGAGAAACATTTTTGTATTAAGCACTTTTTAGGTGAATAATTTCGAAGGCGTTTGTGTAACGGATATAACTGTTTTTCTTTAGTGCAATCTAGTGATTACTTAGTTTCAGTTTTAAGTTTGAAACAATGTTTCATTATTTATTATTTTTAACTTTGCTCTAGATTATCGTAGTTAAATCTATATCCTGCTGGTAAGTAATGGAATATAAACATTCACAAGTACAGTGTATGTCGCATTACAAAAAAAATGACTTTAACGTAGCATTGTAGTTAACGCGCCGAATAATACAATATTTGTCCGGAACAGGTCTGTTTACACAAAAGCCTCATTGCGAGGATAATCTTCGTAAACTGCGCTGTCCATAGGAGCCGGTCTAATGTCAACTTGTGACAGGTGTCAATTTTTTGTGGCGCGCACAAAAAGAGAGATAAAAGATATTTCAATGGCGCGGCTCCCCGCAGCGCGGCCAGCGCACGCACCTGAAGTTCTGACGTTTATTATGGGAGATAAGTAAACAGGTATTGTACTCAGAGACGGCTATCAAATGGACCGTTTGTAGAACTCTGCGACTGTTTGTGCTATTTTATTTAAAGTTGTCAGTCAAGCTTCAAATGTATGTTTTCATCGTTTTTTTTTAGGTAAAACAACGAGACTAATGTGTGTGTGTATAATCTGTAATTATTGTTATATTTTTAATGAAACGTGTGATGTGTAAAGGAAATTACAACGCCGGGCTACCTAATTCGAAGATATTAAAAAAAGAAAACAATAATTGTGCGATTGTTGTATCAAAGTTGGATCGGAAACAAAACAAAGATTTCTCATTGTATCAAGGATTACATATGAAAAATATTAATAGATTAGATTTTGATAACAATTTACACAACATTCGTCGTAAATCCGGCTACCAGAGATCTCTATCTATCTCTTATCACAGCTTTCAAATCTAATCTGTATTTACTTTAATATAATGTATTATATTTGATTTCTATAATAATTTGTACAATTTATGCTACAAGATACTAAATTCAAATAACATGTGAACAGCTTAATTCATCATCAGCTCACTATACGTCCTCACCGAGGGGCTCAGAGCCTACCCTAAGTTAAGGGTGATTAGGCCATAGTCAACCACGCTGGCCAAGTGCGGGTTGGTTGACTTCACACATATCTTTGAATTTCTTCTCAGATATGTTCAGGTTGCTTTTTTCTTTGCTCTCTCTCTGCTTTCAGGTTTTTGGTTTCTATCAAACGTCGCGTATGACACGAAACACAAAAGGTTTTTAACCAAACCAATGTAAATGGTAGTTCTTGATATGTGATCGACCATAGTTATTAATTACAATTAACAAAACAAAGAGCGACGGTGGCTCAGGGGTTACAACACAGACTTGTAATCCCGCCGTGTAACAATGTGTTTTCGATTTCCGATTTACATATGTACATTTATCCGACGTCCTTACGGTGAAGGAAAACATCGTGATGCAACCTGCACATATCTTAGAAGAAATTCAAAAATATGTGTGAGGTCAACCCGCACTGGAACAGCGTGGTTGACTAAGGCCTAGTCACCCTTAACTTAGGGTAAGCTCCGAGCCCCTTGGTGGGGACGTATAGTGAGGTGATGATGTTGAATAAAACAAAAATGACATTTCAAATATGTAACCAATTTATACAAATAAGTTCAACATTTTAATGAACACAAAATCAGACAAAACTCATTTATTAAAGCAAAGCTTTTCCTGCTCAACTCATCCTATCGTGTACAAATGTTGCAAAGAATTAATAAAGTAGTCTTAGTTGCAACCCTTCCGTCCGCGTCATTTCCGACTGTCCTGCTAATTGAGCTGGGGGATTGTTGAAGGTACGACATATGTCCACATAATATTACATTTAAACTCACGTGAAACATGTAAGGCAAATAAAAAAAGACAATCGGGATAAGTTGTCAAATAAATAACGATAATATATATCCTAAGAAATTAAGAACCCTGGCTTGAGGGCGCTTTAATCGCTTATTTTGTAAAGTGCGTATTAAATTCTGTAAGGATTTATATATCATAAGGTGGCAAACGAGCGAGCGGCCACCTGAAATCGCTGAAATAGCGAAGTGACCGTTGCCCATAGACATACGCAATTGCATATGCGTTGCCTACTTTTAATCGACGGAGGAGATGATGCATAGAAAGAAAACATTTTCCCTTTCCATGCATCCTCTCAATTCATCCATCATCAGGGACAATTCGTGCGAAGATGTTAAAGCGGGCTCTACCACTGTTAATGCTATGCAGTTATTAATAAATAAATATAAATGTTCTTAAATTAGTTTCTAATGTGCGCAAAGGAATTAGTTTAGAAAATTTTCCGCAATTTTGGGAGATTTTCTATATTTCTGATCAAGCTGTTAGAGCAAATTTGATTTTTTCACTGTTGAAACATCTGTTTTACTAATTATCTATTCAAAAATCAGATAAAAGTAAAACAGTTCAACACTGTTTCTATCAAAATGTCAAATTCTTTAAAAAGTATATAATATATTTTAAAGTCCTCTTCGTAAAGTAAAAATATATATCTGAACTACATTAACAAGTAACTATTTGTAATGATTTAGTATTTTCAGACATTGGCAAATGGCATTTTGTCGTTTTGGATGAGAACGGGTTAAAGTTGCATGTTTAATTTGTCGGCATCGTTCACTTATTGTTTGTGTTCCAGCTAAAATGTTTACACTATTGCGGCCAGCGGCGGCGGCGGTGTGTCCACCTGGCACAGACCGGTCTACTTGCGTAAATACAAACAGACGCGCAAGCTCGCAAGGGAACATGCGCGTTTGTTTGTTGCGGGATGACGCGGACTCCAAATAACTCCGTACTGTTTTATTTAATCGTTTAAAACTGGCCAGTAATCTGTACTTTATTTGAAAATGGAATATTTTTTATACGGTTGTAAAAACCTGACAGACGAACTCACTGATCCCTATAAATGGACGGGTTATAAGATGTACAATTGCGTGCCTATTTGATTTCCGCCATTTTGGCGCTGATGGTAGCGGTTAATAGCAGTGGTATGGATAAGAACTAATAATATAGATAGAATTAACTGTGTCTTAACTTCAATAGGCGCATCAAAATATGAACGAAGCTAAAACTGTCATTTCCAAGCAATCGCCTATCCATTTATAGAGATCAGTGAGTGAACTAAATACATTTTATTTCTTTTTAGTAAAGGGCGATTAAAATGTAACGCACAAACTTTAATATTTTTATGCAATGTTCATTTATTTGTTATAAACCAGTAATGTGTACATATACTGACAAAACAAATATTAGAAAATACGTGACTTTTGACAAAATTCAATATTATCCTTACGCAAGACCATAGACAAACTTTATAGTTTTTGACAATGAAGTTTTGTGGCGTTTGTTTCTTTATTTAATATAAAGACGCGCGTCAAATTCTGAAAATTAAGATTGTTAACACATCGTCAATTCTAGTTAAATTTTGTTTTATTTATTTACTTAATATTGCGTTAGGAAATGTTGGTTTTATTAGACTTAAGCAATCAGAATTAGCGCTATTATTTTTACTTGAGATTTTGTTTGAAGCTATCTATTTTAATATCACGTTTTGTTTGACGATAATTAAATTTAGAAATCATTAGGAAAAACTATACAGCGTGTTTTAATAGCAAATATTATAGCAGTATTCTAAGAAATTAGGTTAGCATTTGTACTTGAAATGTATTTACAAACTAAACACAATCTTTGTTTGAACACAATTATATGATAAACAGAATATAAAAATATTATTGAGGCAAAATTAAATCTAATCCCTAATATAATACTTCTGTTTTATTACATTAAAAAAAAGCCAATGTATTTTTACCTAAGAAAATTTTTTCTCGCTAGTACGGAACAACTAAAGCATAATTTTGTTTAACTTCAGCGAGGTTTTTTCCTATGTTTGTTTTAATCTAGAATATTTTGTAGATATCAAAATAGAATATTATAAGGAAGGTTCACGGAAGCTGTTCTTGTATGCATAGTTTATCTTGTATGTTAACTTTAGTGGTTGACATTGCATAACTTGACATTTTCTCAGGCGTCTGTCGTATAATTTTAGAAAAATTCAGCAAATTATGTAAATTTATCTAAGTTTTAAACTAGTAGTTAAATATATAACGAATAATGTATATTTCTTGAATGAAACTTAAATGCGCACTTTTAAATTTGTTATGTAGGCAATGTATATAACAACTAGGGTTCATTATAAATATTTGTGGACACAATCTTAATTACTCCATAATTCTATTATATATTTTGATAAATATATAATGTAAAACTGCAATTATTTATTGCTTCAATGGGTATTGTTATTTAAAATTAACTTCAAGAATAATAACAGACTTTTTTCGTTTTCCTTAAAAAAAATCTTCTTACCACGGTTTCTACGACTGCAGCGACATCTATTGACGATACATATTGTCATCCCTTACATTTTCTTTAAAAAAACCGAAACAACAATATACGTCAATACAATTAAGGTGACAAATAATACAAAGAGTTAGGTGAATGATTTGTTGGTGTAGAATAGAGAAATTAACGTCTCGCTTAATACGCATTGTAATTTCAAAGTTGGCTCAGTTTTGGCTTAGTGTTGGCGTAGTGTTGGCGCAGTTGGCGCAGTTGGCGCAGTTAGCGCAGTGTTTGCGCGCGCCGGCTGTAACAGTAGAAGGCCGCGACACGGCTAATCCATTACCCGGCGCAAATGTTTGCGAAGCAGCGAGTGGCGTTTTCGGCTTTTACCAATCTCTATCCGGAGCGCGCGGTGTTAGGTTCCACTCGCTTGCGTAAGCGAACTGTTGGATTTTTTTGTTTAGAGATGGTTCAACGAGTCTACGGGGTTTCTTATGAATTTCTCTTATTTGGATGTGTTTGAAAAATTATTAATAAAAATGTAACTAAACTGCACATTTAAACTACGTTAAAAATG